ACAAAGGAGAGTTTCCCGAGAGGCCTGCAGAGCAACAGAGACTGGGACATGACACCACAGCCCAGGGCACAGGACCTGCATCCCTGGCCATGGCCAGGATGACCCTGGAGCCCACCAGGCACCTGGACAAGAGGCAGCTGAGCCCCCTGCCACAAGGGACCCCAGAGTCCACAAGAGCTCACCTCTGCCACGCACTGGGTCTCGTCATGGCAGTGGAAGAGGAGCGGCACCAGGCTCTGGTGCACAAGTGTCTCCTTTCCCTCTTCCACTACCAACTCCATCACCTCTCGGAAGAGGCGAATGGAGAGCAGCTGCACATGGCTGTTGTCCTGGTGCAGAAGAAGAGAAAAAGACCTCAGCACTGGCTGCTCCTGGCCAACCAGGCACAGGCTTTAAAATCCACAGGGCACAAAGTTCCCTGGGAGCACCAGAGCCTTACATTATCAAACAGTGGCTGGAGTTCCTCAGCCAGCTTCAGGGCAGCAGAGCCGAATGCCTGAAGGTCTTCATCCTGGAGCATGTTCAGGAAGACAGAGAGGGTCATCTCGACCATCTCTACATCTTCATGACGCAGCAGCTCCAGGAGGCTTTCAGCCAGGCTGCAGATGCTGTCGGCCTGTGTGGAACAAAATGCTGTGCTGTGAAGCCCTGAACAGCTGCCCCACCAACAGCTCTCTGGTGCTGCAACCCCACATTGCTGCCCCGGAGCCCAGAGGACAAAGGTCTGTGCCACAGGACCCAGGCAGATGAAGAGGGAGGCAGGAGAGCTGGGAGCAGCTGCCACAGCTCCCAAAGCCCAGCCAAGCCCAAGTGACTGCGATCCCCATCCCCAGGCTGCCAGTGTGGCTTCAGCCGGCTGTGCCCTTCTCACCATCAAGGGATCCACACTGAGAACCAGGAGGCCTCTCAGTGCCAGGCGCTGCCTCTCAGGGCACAGGCTCTGCAAGTTCCTTGATAGGATGGGCAGAACTGTGTCGTTACACTTTCTCCCATCCACACAGTCTAGAATCTGGAAGGCAGAGAGCAGTGATGGGGTGGCCAGGCATCAGGAACCCAGAGTCCCCCAGGGCTGTGCCCAGGCAGCAGCACAGGCCGCAGGTACCATCCTGGGCAGCTGTGGTTCTGAGAGGCCAAAGAGAGGGAGGCAGGCAGGCGAGGCAGCGCTCGCCATCAGGCTCACCTCTACAAGGAACGCCAGGGCAGGGAGCTCCCAGTGGGGTTCCTCCCTGCTGAGCAGCCCGAGCAGGTGAATTGCCATCTCGCAATGGAAGGGGACAAGGACACGTCGCATCTCCCTGTCAGGAGGAGAAAAGGAACCATCGAGCTTGTGCCAGGTGGGCAAAGCTCTCCAAGAACTGACTCCCAAAGGCCTGGACTTCCCCCAGTAGCCCTTGACAGAACAGGGGTGCTTTGGGGGATAATTCCTCCTGTGCACCCAGCTCTCACAGCCATTTCCAATCTGCTCAGCCATGTGGCCCACACCCACAGGGGTTGTTTGGGGTTCCCCATGCACAGGGGAGAGGCAACAGGCACAGTGGGGAGAAGGGTGTCTCACCTGGCCAGCAGTCCCACTGCATAATGGTGGGTGTCAGGACACAGCAGTGTCTCCCAGCCACACTTCTGTTCAATGGCCACCACCTCATTCTCCCAGTGCAGGCGGCAGAGCAGAGCCTTCAGGGTCTGTACTGCAAACCTGTGTGCAGAGCAAAGGTCAGGTCATGCTGGGAGCCCTGGCCCCAGTCCTGAGGGCATGGGAGGAATACAGGACAGGGATGGAGCACCTGCTGGGGTTGGTGGGAAGGCCATGTTCCTCCTGGCACTGCGTCCAGAAAGCATCGACCTCCTCTGACATCTGCTCTGTGCTCATGGAAATTTGGAAGAGCAGAGACAAGAGGAGGTGTGGGGCATGACTGATCATGGCCTCTTCGCATTCAGGCTCCTGGATGATGTGCCACAGTGCCAGGGTTGCCTGCAATAAAACCACATAGAGACAGCGCTCAGTGTGAGATGTTCATGTGGCAGGGCCCGAGCGTGGGAGGGAGAGGCCAGGGGACACCCCAGGGAGAGCAGCCAGCCTGGTGCACCTGAACCTGCCCCTCTACCACATTTGCAGCCCAATGCCTGAGGCAGGGAGATGCAGTGGTGGGGGAGGCAAGTTGGGCAGGAGTACAGGCCAATTCCAGAAACTCACAGCCAGGGCAAAGATGCCTGTGTTGGTGTCATCAGATGTGGACACGCCGTGCACTGGCCATTCCTCCATTGCTCCAAGCAGTGTGGGCAGCACCTTCTCTATTGCTGTTCCTGAGGAGGCGATGCTGCTCCACATCACTGCAGCAGCTCTGTGGAGACAGAGCTCTGGGTCAGGGGGTCTCAACCACAGTGCCATGGCCTGGGCAGCTGTGGGGGCCCAGGTGACAGAGCCACTGTGCCTTGAGGGACAGGGAGGGCACATGGCAGTAGGATGGGGGGCTGACAGGTCAGGGCTGGGAAACGGAGAGGCCAGAGTGTTCTGGAACTCTCCATCTGTCTAGTAGACCAGGTAGGATAGGCTCTACAGGCTGATGGGTTCTATGGGTTGGTGAGCCCTGAAGCCACCAAGGCA